TCTCCAATTGTAATAACAGATATCGATATGTAATTTAAAAACTCAATTGATAATAAAATGTGATCGCATAAATCGGAGTACAAAACAAAAAAAAAACAAAAAAGCATGTTTAACTGAAATCAGGTAATTCTGAAACCACATGATTTTCTAGTTAAGACTTACTGACTTACCTTGGGTTGGTTTAAGTTCACCATATCGAGCTCACTCCACTATATTGGTACGTATTAATAATTGATAAACCTAAATTTATTACGTTACCAAGATCAATAAGGTTATATACTTCTATTAATAGATTTTTCATTTGATTCATGTGCCAGACCAGACACGCCCGAATACTATATATTCGTTATACTTGAAATTTTTGATCTATTCAATTCAAATAATCAAAATTACCGTTTTTAATTAATTTTTTTCTTTCAAAAGAATAAACCAAAATGAAATATTTTACTATTTTTTTACTATCGCTTTTTTTTTGTATGGTATTATCCATACATTGTCAAAATAACGTTATTGAAAGAAAACTTAAACGAGATCAAAATAATATTATTGAAAGAAAATTTGATCGAGATCAAAATAACGTTATTGAAAGAAAACTTCAACGAGATCAAAATAACATTATTGAAAGAAAACTTAAACGAGATCCTTTTCCAAAGCCACAACAGGGCAAAGGTAAAAGTACACAGGCATCTACACAGGCACCTAAAGCACCGTCAAATACGGCACCTTTACAACCAACTAATTTACAGACATCCCAAAGCGTACAAACCGGATCTGACGCCGTACCTTCCCCAACAATACCAACGATATTACCTGTCATTAACAACATTGGTATAAAATCATCAGCTATGAACTATAATTGTCTGGGAATGGCATTAATTCTTGGATTCATGTTATACATACTGTATCGTTAGATTTGCAAAGATCATAATAGCTAAAGATAGATAATTCAAACTTTTAATCTATATAAATAATCATTATGCCACTGCTAATATTAAAATATCTGCAGTACTAGAACACTTAAACGACTTTATACAGTATATTTATTAATCTGCTTTTTATTAAATATACAAAAATCAAAAATAACAGTTTTAATGCTAAAACTAAATAGTTTATAACTACATTGTTGTATTTGTCTGCGTCTATTTTTTACATAGAAATATTATAAAGAATTGAACATACCGTAATTATCGTATCAGTGTAAATAAGAATCAATTGTTGATTAATTAATAACTTGCAAATATTGAACAGTTGGATCGAAGAAGTTCAAGCAAAGATTTAATGGTGACAAGATTCTATCCAATAACATAATGCATATTTTATCTAATATAGTTTGAAAGTTTTAATTATATATATCTCCTATATATATAATAAGATTTTAAATTGTGTTTATGAATCTAAAGAAAGAAGTAAAAACAGTATATTATCATGCTTTTATTTATTTAGGGTGTTCTCAAGCAGCACGCTCGATATAATTTGTATTGATTTAAATAGTGCACAACCATTATGGCATTATTAATTAGACCATTTTTGAGAACCGATAGTATGATGTTGAAGACCGATAG